CCCTCAGCCTTCTCTTCTCCAGGCTAAAGAGCCCCAGCTCTCTCAGCCTTTCCTCATCAGGGAGATGCTCCAATCCCTCCATCATCTTTGTTGCTCCAGCAGTTCCCTGTCTCTCTTGAACTGGGGAGCCCAAAACTGGACACAGGATTCCAGTTGTGGCCTCCCCAGTGCAGAGCAGAGGGGGAGAATGACCTCCCTCCACCTCCTGGCCACACTCTTCCCTACGTAGCCCAGGATTCCATTGGTCCTCTTGGCCACCAGAGCACACTCCTGGCTCCTGGAGAGTTTCCCATCCACCAGGACCCCCAGATCCTTCTCCTCAGAAGCGCTTTCCAGAAGATCCACCCCCAACCTCTACTGGTGCCTGAGGTTCTTCCTCCCCAGGTGGAAGACCCTACACTTGCCCTTGGTGAACCTCATGAGGTTCTTCTCTGCCCAGCTCTCCAGGTCACGCTGGACGGTGGCACAGCCCTCTGGTGTGTCAGCCTGAGTGTCCTCAGGAGCCACCTTGGGGACATTTGGGGCCACCTCGGGGACATTTGGGGCCACCTCATCCCGCTCCTCACCTCCAGGATGGCGTCGCAGGCCGTGATCTGGTTGTGCAACGAGGCGATGTTCTCGCTCTCCTTGATGTCTGGGAGGGCAGTTCAGGGCCAGGTTGGGGACACAACGGGGGACGTTGGGGACACTCTGGGTCCCCCCCCTCTCTCCCGTGACAGCCACCACCCCCCATGTCCCTCCCCAACCCCTAAGAAGAAGGATACAGTCGCGGATGGAGGCGCGCTCGACCTCCTGCAGCTCCAGCTCCACCTGCTTGGAGTACTGCCGAAGGTCCACACCCTGGGGGGGACACCCGTGTCACCGGGGACACACACACACACACACACACACACAACGCTGTGGGGCTGGGGACGCTATGGGGCTGGGGAAACTATGGGGCAGGGTGTTTGAAGAGGGGGGACACAAGTGCCAACTCACCGTCTTCAGGGCCTCCTGCACCAGAGCGTCCTCCAGGTTGGCCTGGATGTGAACT